GCACATTACTGAGCATTTAACAAAGAAGAAAATGATTTTCCATTTCAACATCTTTGTCATCTAAATAGGACATAACTCAGTCCTAAGTTTTGTTAGTACGAAAAGTTAATAAACCACAGTCTTATCATAAATTTGGTCTATATAAATAACAATTGTTAAATGTACAGATCTTTTATGTGCTTATTTTAGCGGCTTCGAATTAACTCATGTATGTGAAAAACCTAATAATATATGATTATTAAGGCTTATTGGTCCAATTTAGTAGTAATAGTTTCATTGGGGCAGTGATTAAACATTAATATCATTAAGATGATAATAGTGCAATAACAGATTTCTATTTTTTGCTTTAAACTTTAAACAGTTCATTATGAAATATTAGATTATATTAAATTTGACGATATAAACTCGATTTTTGAGGTACTATTTAATATTCTGATTATCTTTCCTCCCTTTCTTCGTTTAAATATTATAACAAAAATTATTTTAAATGATAATTAAACAAATAAAAATTATTAATATTTTACTTTATGAAATCATAATGACATTATAATGACATAAAATTTATTTTCAGCTTCATTCTTCCAAGTATTAAAAAATCTATTAAAAATAAATAGTGTAAATTCAAAATTGAATTGTACTTTATGTTGAACTCTAATTTTGTTTTTTTGTATTCTTTTGATTTTTCAATGTGAATGTGTTCAAAAATGGATTAATATTCTATTATTAAATCTTGTACACATTAAGATAATTCAAAAGATATATTTGCTACCAAAATAGGCATGACCATAGAAAACAATATTCCAGTAAAAATTCCTGTAATTAATGATGCTGCCCCAAACATGCCAGCTGTTGCCATGTATTGAGAATCTACCATTCTAAAATAAAAGTTCCATCTCTAATATTTTTGTTATCAAAAATATAAAAAGAATTTTTTTTTATTTTATAAATCTCACCTTGGACAATACATCATAGATAAAGAAGAAAAGTAACCACTACTTATTCCCATTGTAATGGCGATTAAAAAATAAATCCAATCATTATTAATATATACTGGTAATGTTCTTAAAATACCTTTTGGTTTGTAATTACATAATAAAAACAATGGTATATATAAAATACGTAATGCAACTGGGATTATTAAGTACCTCTTACTAGGCTATGAGAAAAAAATAATAAAAATTAGTAGTTATATTAAGTATTTAATGAATTTTATAAAAAAAATTGACTCACCCATTGAACCAATGATGCAATTGAACTACCAATTAGAGCTGTAATGTTGAATGTGAGGAAACACATGACAGTACTATAATAATCTGGTGGAACTATGAAGTTAGGATCCGAACTTATTATATCAGAATGAACAGATGGAAACAAAGAAAGAGTTACAAAAAATATAAAAAATGTATTGAAACATTGAGGAAAACACTGTTTGAATATTTTCCAATAAGGTAATGTATCATGTTTGCCTCTTGTACTATTTTCTAATTGTCTTTTATTTATTCCTTTTTGATGCAATAATTCACAATACCGGTAAAATCTCTATAATCAATAATAATTTATGTAAAAAATTTCTTAGTCTTAATTTTGTAATAAAATTTATAATAAAAAATATAATTCTTACATTTATTGGAAGTGCAAAATAAGTATCAAAGCATGCAAGAAGAATAAACAATGCTGTTATAAAATAATATATTGCCGCAGTCCGAGCATTTGGTGCCATATATTGAGCAAGAAAATTAATTATTGCTGTAAATGTTCCACTTATATTCTGAAAATAATATAGGATAATTTCAATATGAATATATCACATAATTTTATCATACAATTGTATAAGTTGATATTTACCGTGCCTAGGATAACAGCTCCTGTATACTTTGTAGGTAACTTTGCCACCATACCAAACACAGAGTTTTGGTAAATTCCATTAGCAGCTGAAAAATATTTCATAAAGATTATTTAAATAAAAATATAGATTTGAAAAAGTAAAAAAAAGTAAAAAATGAATGTACCTTAAAATAATTCTTTAATAAAGTATAATTTATTTAAAATATTATATAATTGATTCTTATTTTGGAATTTCTATAAAAATAATTTTATCTTACTGTTTAATATAATAACAGAAATCATGGTAATCCAGAAAAAGGCACCTGGCCAATCAGAGCTATCAGTCATTGCCAAAATAACGGTACATACAAATATTAAAACTTGTATGAAAATGCCCCATACTATACGTGTTGTCAAATTGCCACTAAAAGAACCAAAAAATTATATTCACAATTAAATATTAGTTTTTCATTAATTATCATATAATATAATAAATTAAAAAATAAGTTTTTTATATTTTAATTAATAGATTAATAGGTAACATATATAAACATTAGATTGGAATTATTCAAAATATACACACCCAAATTGTATAAATACATTTAACCAATTAAATAATATATTTGGTATCTGTGCTGCAAATGCTAGGTATGAAAGAAAATTTGTAGCATAATTTGTTTCAATCCCTGTATATTCCTTAGATAATTTGTAATTAACAAAATACTAAAAGAATAATTAAAAATTTACAACTTATGTAAAATTAGATAAATATAAAAAAATATATTTTAAAAAATATAATGCATACATTTTTTGCTGTTATGAACATGTTCCATGGCATCAAAATTCCAATTCCATGAAGTATCATTATGCAGAATATTATATTTAATCTAAAATAACATATAAACAAACAAATGAAAACAAAATTTTTAATAAATTATATTAAAAATTATATTTACCTATCTTTGGGAGGATTTAATTCAAGCTCTGCTTGATCCATTGTAACTCCTTTAAAATTTAATTCATCATCAGGTCTACCTGTACCTTCCCAACCAGGAGAAAGACGTACAGGCTCAGTACCTATAAAAGCATTATGATTTATACATATATATATATTTAATCTTATTGTTAGTAGAATAGTAGTACTTAGAACTATCTTAAGAACTTTACTAATGCTTCAATTTGAAGCAATTTATTAATTTAGTGATCATAATACAAGCATTTCATATATATATATTACACTTATATGATTTGATATTTATATCTTAAATTTATATAACAGAATGGAAAAAATATATATGCATTTATCTTAACGATATAAATATTATATTGTAAAAGAAAACAAACATTAATTACCAGTTGGAATTTTAAAAGTATTATATGAAGTTTTAATGTAACCTGAGGACAAAGACATTCATATATTGTATTCCATATCTGCTTAAATCATATTCCTGTGTAACATACATAATATTATGGTATTGTATAAAAATAAGAAAAAATATGATGGAATTATAAAATTAAATGATAAATTAAATACAAATAATATTAGAAAAATTTATGTTAATGATTAATATTAATGATGAAATAATCTTAAATAATTTTAATTTATTAATAAATTTTAATTAACCCAAAATATATACATATATTATTTTATAATGATATAATATTTATATTTTATTTCATAATAAAATATATATTTATTAATATTTCTCATATATTTTGAGTTAACAAAAGTTATATTTTATATAAAACAAAACATTTTAACATATATAATATATGCAGACAGTGCTGAATTTTTTATATTTTTTTTTTCAATTAAAAGATTATAATAAAATGTAATATTATGTATTAAATATAAAC